CAGTGGTTCGAGACACGCGAGAACCCAACTAAGACAGATTTTTTAATCTGCTTATACACTCGATGTAGCATACACTTAACTTATTTTGAAACTGTTTTGCATAGCTAAACGATTGTGTGACAACGAAATAGTAATGTACGAATTRTATATGCCAGTACGAACCTTATTTCCCGTTCGCGAGTCTTGATTTAAGGTTTTATCGTCAACGTTTGCTAGCCGTTGTCAGCTCTTGTCTAAGTATTATTACAAACACCTTAGCTTTATATATGCTATTACGGGAATGCTTTTCACGCTGCATGCACATGCTATATTTATACACGGAGATCTGATTACGTGGGCTCAGTCACGCCGGAATAGAAAACTAAGGAAATAAATAAATGATAATAAAACGATGTCAAAATAACTGTTTTTCTTAATAAAACAAATGTCGTTACTTTGATATCAGATAAGAAATAAGATTTTGAAATAGGAATATATTTAATTCTAATGATGAATCWCGTCTTATTATGGTCAACGTGTGACTTCACAAACCAATATCAACCATAAGGCTCCAATATTATATTCAAAGTGAAAAATCTAAACAAAAGCAGAGCCAAGCTGCATAAACTATTTTTGTAACTTTTCAAGTCCTTCAAATTTTATTGATATCTCTATGCAGATCAAAGTCACGGACGAGGCTTCTAAGATGTTTACTACATTTTCCGACGTAATAGGATATTTCTTWCTGGTTCAAGAGATTAGGTATCGGACTAAGGTTCTGTGAAGGAATTTTTTCGTCGTGATGTGTAATTTTTTGAGTGCTGTTAAAATCAGACATTTTCCGCGGTAGTCGGGGGCACATTCACTGTTAAGACCCCCGCTATTGTGGCCCCGTTATTTTGGTTTAGTAGTCAACAAGAAACACAACGCGTTACGTCCCCGTTCAGTGCCCCACTAGCCGCGGAGGTAGGGGGGCGGGGGTTTCAATTACTAGTGCATAATCCCTTATTTTAAGTATGATACTCGCTCAATATTGATGCAAATGGCTTGAAACTTCACAAGACCCAAAAGAAAACATAAGATATTTAAGGCAAGACCTTTATTTGTACGAATTTTTTATTCTTTAATGTATTTTGACGATAAATCAACACTAATAGCCAGATTGGGCTACCTGTGATCTCATATAAATCTACGGTCCATTTGCTACAATACACACCTATTAAATCTTTATACGGTCTTTTACTCTGGGCACAGTTGTTCAAAGCCCGATTAGTGCTAATCCTGGGTTAACTCTTAATAAGACCTATAGAGTTAATCCTGGATTAGCGCTAATCCAGCTTTGAACAACCCGGCCTTGGCAAGCTTCCCAAAATCTTAAACTTCTCTTTTAACGAGGCCAAGAACAAAGTACTGACGTTATATTAAAACTAGACGACAAAGTCTGTTACCAGTCAAAACAACAAAATAGGGTTAAACGGAACAGTCTTCCTTTATGACATCACATCCGGAAAGAACATTTTGAAATGAGGAAGCAACACTTCAGTACTTTGACTTCCGCTTTCGAAAACAACGTACGTACACTTATTACTTTGATCAAGTTGCTTTAAAACCACGCATGTAAAAATATCTATTCCGGTTTGGAAGTAAATACCTTTCGACCCATGCCAAAATACACAATACTGAGATCTGAGATTCAGCTATTTCAAAAAAGGTTGATGAAGATTTTGTTGCATGCTGCTTACTCGGTTTCAAATGTATTGTATTAAGAG